AGACTAAACATACCACCTGAGCAAATTATGTAACACCTGGCCTTGGACCAATTGCCAATCTGGGTCACAGAATGAGAATATGATGTTGTTTATGGCTTGCATTTCCAGGACATTCCACCTTTTCCAGCCTTCATATGAAACCAGAGCTCAAACAGTTAACACAATCTTTCCATCTCCCCCCCCCAAAAAAAAACTAGGGTTTAACACATTTTTGTTGCCTCCAGGCCAATTCTGGTCCCTTGTGATGATTGTTAAATTTGTCATATGCCACTGTTATTTGAAACACACTCAGTTTCCCATACCAGGAATCAGGACAGTTTTTCAGCTGTAGGAAAACAACACCACCACTGTGCCAGGTTTTAACCATATCAGAATAACATAGAAACAATAAAAAATAGTTGAAACTTCAGCTTAAAAATGTTGGCTTTGGGTTCTTTTTTTTGTTTTGTTTTGCTTTGTTTCTTTTGTAGATTATCTTCTAAAGCAGCCCACCCAAAAGGAAATCCTCATAACCTTAAAGCTGAAAATCTCCTTCTGGTGTTCATAGGAAAAAGCTGAAAACTTAGTCTTATCCCTGCTGCCAATCTAGAGCCCCAAATCTGGCTAAGGGTATTATCAATACTGATCAAAAGATGTTCAGCGTCCAACATTTTTTTTTATTAAATCTTTTTTAAAAAAATTTTTTTCCCCCTCCTAGAGATTACACTCTTCAAAAACATCTCTTCTTCAGTAAACAGCAGCAGCCCTGGAGTTATCTATCGTTGACCTTTATTCATTCTACAGTAATTGGCATAACATCTTCACCAAAGCTATAAAGTTTTTCATCTAATAGTGCAGCTGAAGTATAAAGAAAATATATAGCTAGATGATGAGCTTTAGAAGCCAAAAAATAAAAGAAGGAAACTAAGGTATTCAACATAGACAGCAAGCAGAAAGAAGTATGTAGAAGGAAGTTAAAGTGGTACAGCCAATATTTCTGTCAAAATCAGTTCTCAGCCTAGCCTGATTTTACAGTCCTTCCAGGTGAGATGGAAGGCAACAGGCCACCCTCGAGAACAAAGGCAATTCGAACTCTAAAATACATTCATGACAATCTGGTTTCTATCCTTACATGTATGACTGGACATACACTTTACAAAAACCAAATGTGTGGAGGATTCCACAGTGAAACCAAGCTATCCCTGCAAATTAAGAGCTTTAGATATTGCACAGTAGCCAATATAACATCTGTTGCTCTAAAATTAGCAACTATTATAAAGACTTATCATAGGAAGTTCTGCACATGATGGATGGATGGATGGATGGATGGATGGAAACATGAAAGCAGCCATACTAAAGGACTAGCAAGTAGGAAGAGTGTGCTTAAATATATTCCACAGCAAAGCTGTGTCAAGACTTCCTCAGGAGGTCTTTCATCTTTTGAGGATGGACGCTTCATTCATGCTAGCACACTTCAGGAAGCAACCCTTTGAATACTTTGGATAAGGCATTACTATGAAAACATACCAGCCAACATATCTCCAACCATATCCATGCATTCCTCCTTGAATGAGAAATGGGGGGACACCTTAACAAGATACTTCTGAGTTAGTCACAAGAGCCTTGATTAGTGGCAGTAGCTCTTCTTTCTGCTAGAAGCTCTGCTTTGCTCTCTATTCCCCCCCCCCCAGTTGGATTTTTA